ACATGAATGGAGGGCAGCTTGCCCATGCCCATCCTTCATTTTCAGGCTCCAATGGCCATTAAAAACACCTTTTGAGCAGTTCCTCCAATTGCAAGTGGAACTGGGGACACATATCAAAACAAGTTACCAAACCATAGAATGAGGAGCATAGTTCTCAACAAACCCCAGACAGTCATCTATATGATCACCCACTGATCTGGTGTCTCCAAATCCAGCGGTACCTCACTCAGATGTGGGCTAGGGATAGGTTTTGCCTTTGACTGACCTTGCTTTTGCACCAATAGGGGAAAAAAAAAAAAAAAAATATATATACACACACACATCTGTTCTGCAGTTGGAATCTGACTTTTAGTACTTCATACAAAAGGATTTGTGTGTAAAAATTTATTCAGAAAGGAAAACTAAGATAAGATTGTCATCAACAGAGGACATGTTTTCACCCTAAGCAGAAACACAGGACATTTTCCACCTAAGCACATATTTTATCATTAGAATCACCCATGGCTTTTAAAAATTGACTTGAAGTGAATTACTGTTCATCTTATAGTACTTTTAGCATTAGCAATTCTTGAATAAACAGATCTGAGACAAACAAGAGATTACTTTTTCCACACAAAACATAATTAAAACTCACAGCCACAAGGGATTGTGGAGGCTGAAAGAAACCATGAGTTCAAAAACGGAAAAAATTCCTGGAGAAAAATAGGGTCACCTTATCTGTTCTTTGTTTCATACCATCTGCTGGAGGCCACTGCTGGAGGCAGGATACAAGGCTAGAAACATCTCTGATTCTGAGCCACACTGGTAGTTCTTGAGACATTGTACATTATTAGCATGATATTGTCACACTTTTATTAATGGCAAAACTTACTTCACATACTTGCATTTAATTCATAAATACAGCTTTTGCCAAGGAAATTTAATGTTATGTTACCTGTAAAAGCATGGTGTAGTAAGAGTTAAATTTTCACTTAAACATATATATTGTATTACAATTTGTGATCAGTACCATCATAACTGGTAAGAAAAGGTCAGGAAAATAAAGGTGCAAAAAAGAATTCAATTAAACAGATATACATAAATTTACTTAAAAACAAATAAGAGCTGTTTTCCATTTAAAACTACTAAGTCTCCCCTGACTCACCTTATTGGATCATCCATCAAAATAATACAAAGTTTCTAAGGTCTGTAAACATTCTGGTTACAGTAGGGGTATATGCAACTGCAGATTATCAGAATTACCCTGGAATAATTGAAGGAGGCTTACACTAGGTTACATGAAATATGTAACTATGATCATACAAATACTGAATACATCAGAATGCTGCCATCTTAGAGCATGAACGTGAGGAGCTGACCAAGCCAGGGAACAGCTCTCAAATGCATATTGCAAATATTTTTAGCATCATTTAGGATCATGCCTTTAAGTATGAGCAATATGGGTATCAAGAGCTCAGTTCTCCTCCTAGACAGGGACACATGCACAACTCCTTACCTGAATGGTCTGTGTCCACAGCTCACGTGCCCAAGCTTTCAGTCTCTATGCCACAGTACCAGGTATGGAGGCACAGTTACATCCTAGATAGTAGGGCACAAAGCTGTAACTAATGTTCTAGTGCTGCATTTTTGCACGACTCCTACGATCACCTTCACTTGTATGTGTGTACTCAGTAACACTTTGTCAAGTTGCACATTTGTATCCCTCACCATAGGATATTTAAATTCACAGGTGTGTGCATATATACACTACTCCCACAGAACCGTACCAGAGGCTACTCAGAGGTACTTATTAGGAATGAATCCCTTTATCAGACGTTCTGTTTAATTAACAAATGAATAGCTCAGATTCTATTAAAACACTGGGCCAAAATACATTATTGTATTAAGTACAGAGAAATCCCTGAATACTTAAGCATACAGCAAGACAAAACCAAGTTTAACAGTGAGCAAATGTCCTGACTTTCTCTGCACATCCTCAGTTTCTGAAGTAATGATTAAATAAGTAAGTACTGGCATTTATGAGAAAATCATTTCAACATATATTGTACTGTAAACCTGAAAGCCAATTCTTCCTTAGAAACTTGAAGCACGGGGTGCTCCTGGTTGCTAAGGCTATGAATGAAATGCATACAGTGCACCCACTTGATCCTCACAGACCTCAATGCTACACTGTATAACTGCCCTGCAATGAATCCTACTTTTAAGCACTTGCAAAATCAGGAGAAACAACTCCTCCATGAAAAGAATCACATTTTACATAGAGCAAATTTGCTAGTTAAAGCTAAAGTGTCATATGGGAGTAATTCTGTTGATAAAGCTGCAAGACAAAGATTACAGAGTGCAGGAGCCCCACTGACACAAAAAACCTCCTGTATCTAATCCCCTTCTTTGTAGGCAACTGGTATGACGCTAGTCTTCTCACTTCTATGAAAACCAAGAGAAATACACTTAAGTTGCAGATTTAAAAAATAATTGCAGAGTTAATAAGGACATGAGTCCCAAAGTTCTTGACTGTATTTTCAGGTACACCGGGCCCTTAATGCAGACAGCCCTGCCAGATTAAAAGTACATTAAGTACTTAATTATGAGTGAAGAACCAGCAAGCACATATAGGTGAAAGCGGTGTCACAGTAACAGAATACCATACTGCAGAGACATCTTTTGGATGTGAATCCCAAGAGCAAGATTTCTCTTTCTTTTTGTGCAGTAGACAAAAGAGGAAAGAACTCCTGAGTTCACCTGTGCTCAGTCAATTTCCAGTATAAATACAATAACATCAGCAGCATCCCTTATTTCACTTGAACACTATGTATTTTTTAAAGTGTTTAACCTTAATACTAAATTCTATAAATTGAAGGCTTTGTGTAACTACCTACCTCATAGTTATGTTCTTCATACACATTATATAAATTTTCTCTATGCCATTCAAGAAATAACTATGTAAAAACAATGCTATTAAGTTGGCACGGTTAGGCACTGAAGATTTACAAAGTCATAGGCAGAGCAAAGTTGTCCTCCCTGTGCGTACGTGTGTGGGGTCAGAGTTCTTAACTACACAGACCAATTTCATCTCAGCATTTCCTCTCCACTTCTGCTCCGAAAGTCAGAGGCAAACGTGAACAAGGGGATCATAGTTCAAGTCCAGGGTATTGTGAAAGGCTTCTCAGCACCTTTCCAGCTTTAAAGAGGTGGTGGCGGCAGCTGTGGGATGAATTCTCTGGAGCATTTCTGCTCAGACAGACTTAATGCTTCCTTGAGCAACCTGTGTTACCCTCAAAAAAATCCAGGTTCCTTTCCTTACAAGTCAGCACAGCAGAAGAAGGGATAAGTATTCCTTCTTTCCTGCCTCTTTTGGATGGTCCTTCTTCCCTGCCTCTTTAGGACAGAAAGAGCCTAATCTTTGTCTGTGGGAACCAAGATCTCTAAATGCCACTTCATTTGATCTCAAGAAACAGTGCTACCTGGGGAAAGCAATGGATGATGCACTGCCATGATGGGAATTGGTGAAATAGAAAAATTTTGTCTATGCCTTGAAACCCCTAAAGACTTTGTCATTTTGAGTTTTAAGACCTGAATAAAGTCCCATAGCACTCTGACACTCAAACTGTAGTCAGCTACTTGCCTCATAACATTTCATCAAAAAATACATTAAAGGCAGTGGATAATATATACACTTTTAAATAGAAAATACATACAGAAGTTTTAGTCTATTTTAGGACTGTAGAAAGTGTGAGTTCCACCTGCATTATTTTTTAATTCATATTCTACACAATTAACTTGCTGGGTACTACCTTGTTTGACTGAATGACATGAAGTCAGCAGAAGCTACTCAGCGAATGCAGACAGTTGTACAGGAAAAAAAACTGGGAAAGACCTTAGCTGAGAAATTCCTACCTGCTGGGCTCCAGCCAGGCTAGCAGACTGGCCTGCCTCAGGTTTCAACCTATGATCAAAATAACATTAAACTGTGAAAGACTTCTGATAGAGAAGAAAGAGAGGAAACAGACAGCTGGAAGGAAGCATCAGGACTGCCTTCCTCTCCTAGACCAGCAACAGGGGATTTGGAGTTGTGCAGACCTTACCCAAAACCGGCCAAGAAGCATCCAAGTACAGGTAAGATCCAGCTGGACAGGCCTGGTAACACTTTCTCTGATGGCTTTGATGATTAAGCAGTGCTTTGTGGTGAAGACACTGTTTTCAGCTGTCCAGAGGCTTTCCAGGTGCTGAGCTCAGCCGGGGGAGTTGTTTTATGTCAGCTGACCAACCGAGAGCTTTCACACTGAGACAAAATCTGTGTGATTACAGAGATCCCTCCCCTTAAATTAGTAGTAGTAACAAATGAGTTGAGAGAAAAGAGAATTTAACAGGTATTAAAAGTCTAAAGTGCAACTTCCATTGTACCCAAAAGCTGTGGATACAGTTTGATTGTAAGTTAAACCTTTATTCAATGTACAATGATACCCAGCTGCATAGGACATTTTGATATCTGTTACCAAGAGTCTCCAAAAAGGATGCTAATCTAAGGTAAAAGATGCTGTGCAAATACTGCTGTTAAACATGAATGTAGTTCTTAAAAAAAAAATCCACTAGGGAAAAAACTGTGCTCTCGAAATAATTTCTAGTCATTTCATAAAAGGAAATCAACAGTTAAAGCATATTAAAAGAAAGGTAAAAATTCTCATGCTCCAAGGTTTCTAATAAGTTAGCTTTAAAAAAAAAAAAAAAATACTGGATGAATTTAATGGCAGAAAAAATAGATAAGCTTTTCTACGCAATCTGTCTGGAAAAGATAATTAATTTCTTAGCTTTGAATATACATGATTGTTTTAAAGAGCCACACCTGGTTGACTACTGATATGAGGTTGAAAAAAAATAAAATAAATTAACCAAACAGAAGCCTAATCTGATGTATTCGCAACAAGCACAGTCTCATGAACATTTTATACTGCACTAGATGGAAATTTCACCCAAAATGAAGGAGCAATGGATAATTTGCTTCATTCAATAGGAAACATAATGATTTTTAACCTCAGACTCATGATTGTAGCTCATCATTGGTTTTTGTGGTGGTCCCCCCTGAAACCGTATCCTTATCAAGATTATCTTGTAGATCTACTGACGTGTTATTTGAAGAATTCTCAGCTTGACATAAATCTTTCTCTACAGTACCTGGGTGATCTCCACGGTCATTGTTCAGATTTTCATCGTCTTTTTTGGAATGAGAAGTGTCCTCCTTTCTGTCTGAAGTATCATGAATTTCTTCTGATTTTGAAAGCTGACCGGTATCAGCATCACTGTTCTTTTCACTGTTGTTCTGCCCAACAGCATCACAGTTCATTTCTTGGTCATCCTGGTCATTTTCTTCTCCGTTTTTTGTGAGTTCTATCTTCCTTTCTTCAGTCGTTTTAGCAGCTGAGCTTACACTTCCTGATACATTCTTAGGCTCTTTTGGTTTCTTATGCTTAGAAATATAACTATTGTGAATAGAAATTGGAGATGCTGGCTTCTTATTTGTTTTGCTTCCCTCCGACTTCTGTTTTCTTGGGGGTCCCCAAATAAAATGCTCTGAGGGTGTATAGTGTTGCTGGGCAAATCTCAGGAGTTTCCTCCTTTCTCTTCGGTCTCTAATAGTATAAACAAAATATTCTAGAGCACTTTGCTTAATGTTGGGAATGGTATCTTCCACAAGAGCTTCATGGAGAATGAATTTTACCAGGGGAGATTTGAAACTCTCATATCCAAGCTCACCAAGACTTTTCAGAATTCGAGTGATTCTCAAGTAGTTGTGTTGAGACCTTTGGAAGAAAAGGGTGAAAAAATTCCATTGAAACAGAAAGAAAACCACCTTTCAGATACAAAACTGGAACTGCAATTCCTCACTTTTCCTCATTTTTATCATTCCAGGTGTGTACTTCAGGCTTCCTGTACTCTAATTTCTCATGCCTGCTTAAGCTTGCTAGCACCTCCTCTGCTAGGATGTTGTGAGTGAAAATTAAGTGTCTGTAAAATGCACTGAGGCAGTAAGTGGGAAATTATCAAAGTGCATACTGATTTTGATTCCTTCTGCTGTATATATTCTTTCTGAGGAGAACACCCAGTCACTTCGTAAGATATGGTTTTTGTAGTGTATTGCTTCAGAACAGGATTCATTGCACTTTGCTTAAGCTCTTTAAAAAGCTGTGTCTCCAGTCTGGACTAGCTACCTACACTTCTGATACAGTCAGTGCTGCGAGAAAAAGAGGGACCTCTGGAGAGCAAGTCCCACTCTCACAAGAAGTGTCTAAGATAAATGGAACCAACTATCTTCTGGAAGTGCTTCTGAAGAGCTCTTTTCCTCCTCAAGTACAGGTAAGTGAACAGTAAAACCCAAATGTCTAAATTTTAGATGGCTAAAATAAGGTAAAGAGAATCCTAATTCCTGATTTAAAACTGTGTGCTACTCACTGGTGAGAATATAGGAATTATAATGTAAAAATGTGCAGTGTGTAATATTTGGGCTTCCTGAAACCCGGTTTTATCTGTGGCCTGAGTCTGAGCCCACACTCATGAGTTGGTTCATATAATATTTGAGTAAACTTAATAACAAATTATTTACACTATTCACTCAATATTATCTATACCAACAGTCCTACCTACAAGCTTTCATTTGGACAGGAGTACTATTTAAAATACTGCAAGGAAACAATCTTCAGCTCTAAGGTCAGAGTTACTACAAAAGTGACCAAATGATTTGAAAAGAGATTCTGATACAATAAATCCGCATGGGACAAAATTACGCAAACTTAAGCTCCAGCCAGTGTCAGTGAGATGTCATTTGCTGGAAGCTGGGCTAAAGTTTGACGTAATGCATGTCTAAACTTCTCCAGTTAAGGACTGCAATTAAAAAGTATTAAATAAAAAATATTTCATGTTTTGAGGAGGGAGGGAAACCTTGTTGTTTAGCTACTATACAGGTGTGGAGAATTTTATTTTCCTCAAAGAGAAATATGAATACAAAGATAAGCAACTCATTCTTTCTAATTGAGAAGTAGTGCCTTGGGATCAGGTCAAAATGCACTCAGTAGCATAACAAATTCCAAATTAATTTGGAACCATGATCATCTTCAGCATCATCTGAAGTTGTATTTTCAAGGAATTCACTGATGTCAGTTAGACTGGTAATGGGTGAGAAGCACAATCAAAAAAAGGGGAAGGACAAACGTACACATACAGACACAAACCAGTCACTGACTACTTATTTTTCTTTTTTTCCTGGCAATCTTTGGAAAATATATCTTCCCTTTCTCTAGAAAACAAAAGCCTAAAGAGATTCTATGGCAATTCTGGAGAGTGGAGTGGATGTCATTACTTACTCATTCAAATGTTGAAATCTTTCTTGCCAGTTAGCAGCTCGTGCCACGTTTCCAGTTTTATCAATTAGTTTTATTCCAAAAAACTCCAGCATCATTTTGTAAGCCAAAAGGAATCTTCTAATTGCTTCTTTTGTTTTCTTGAATTCCTAATAAAGAATACATTCAAAATGCTATGTGGTGATAAAGCAAGTACTTCTGCATTGTGTAAAACAACTCTACATAACAAAAAGCCGTTATTTATCAAAATTAATGTGATGGTTTGTATTGAGCTCAATTTGTATTACCTCAATTTCATATGTAGTTAATTCTTTAGCATAGAAGTTCAGACCTTGTTCCCTCAGTGGGAAAAGCCTGTTAATAGAAAAAGCACATTACAGCTCACAGTATATGAACACTTAATCAAATTAATGCTTTGAAACAGAAATAGGTAATAAGTGACCAACCACTGTATGTAAGTGTGGTTATGCTCCAGTTTTTCATAGTCTCCTTTCCATTTATTTAGGACTTCTTCGATATAAACCCCTACATAAAAATAATTTGAAAACTGTTAGGTAGCCATCAAAAACAGTATTCAGCTACATAAAATACATACCATGTTAACAGCATGATAGAATACATACTTTAATTCTCTTTCACATACTATGTGAAATAAGGTCTATTACAGCCATAAATAAATTCATTTAATTTAAAATTAATTCAGTTACTAGAACTTAATTAAAATAAGAGATTTATCAAATTTCAAATAAGATATACCAAATAAGAGTTACTTACCAGCAGAAGGTATGCGAAAAAAACCTCTGTAAAACAGACTTCCCAAAAAGTTCTCATCTCCTAGATCCCTTCATCACACTGACTGCTAATTAAAAAACCACTTACATATAATACTGCATTGTGAATCACCTGCCATTGTTTCAACAAGGCAAAACTCTATTACAAAGACACACATATATAATCTCAGTAGAACAAAGCCTCAACTCTACAAGAAATCTCTCATTCCAGGAATCTCTCCAGCTGCAAATAGCATTAAGATTGTGAAATCTTTCTCAGTTAGCTGTGGCCAAGAGTCTTGATGCCATTGCCATGAATTTGACCTTAGGGCCTCAGGTCATGCTCAACAAATGAGAATTTCAGCTTTTAGTGGTCTCAAAACAGTTGTGGAGCTCAGTCAGCTCCTCTTGGAAAGACACAGTGACAGAAAAAGGGGACAAAGTACATGTAAAAAGAAATTAATCATTCTTCCCACTGAGACTGTGCCCATGAAATTCAGTCACAGGCCAAGGCACCTCTTTTCCAGGTACTGCACAAACACACAAAGTATACAAAAGGATGCTCCTTGTTCCAAAACCTGTACAGTCTTTTTCCATGAATGAACGCTCAGTGATAGCCTATTTCTACTCTGAAACCAACAACAGTTTTACCACTGCAGCATGGCCTCTCCCAAATTAAAATAGCACAGGAAAGGTCTAAAAGGCCCAAAGCTCCATGTAGACAGCCTCCTACTACACATATAAGATTTCTATCCCTCCCCAGTGAAAATTTCCACTTGGGTGCCAATTACAAGGGAGAACTTATGTGTTACTTTTATTCAAGAAATGTAGAAAGCAGATAGTTGAAGGGGCTGCTAAGAAGATGAGGTTTCCAGTGCAGGCAAGGCTGGAAAAGGACCTTCCTAAGAGTATCTCCTGTCATCACCAACCAGCTTTCAAAATAACTGCATTTCAAGTATTGGAAAACTTGCTGCTCAGTTGCAGGGCAGAGTGACAGGCCAGCTCTGAGTCAGAACCACAAGCTAAATCTGTAGGTCACAGAATTACACTTCAGATCTAGTATTGCACTACAAAAGTTTTTCTTTAATAACATTCCCCAGTACTTTAGTCCCTAACATGGTAGCTTAGGCTCCATCTGAACGCTCTCACAGATCCACAGACTTAGGTCAAGGTGGTGACTACTCTTTCCCATTTTCAACAAAAACTATGGCATAACCAGAGCTCACAGCCATCGACACTTCAGCCTCCATGGCCTATCAGCTACTTTCGACACCACTGACCATAGTTTTCTCCTAAAATTTTAAGATAATTTTTCCTTACAAATTTTAGGAGGGAAGCTCTCCTCTTAATTGCTCCTTTTCTCCTGGCTAATCCTCCTGAATTACTCCTTCATTTTGTCCTTAAAAGGATCCTTCTTGAATTATCCCTTCATTTTGTCCTTTAAAGGATCCCTCTCCCAACCTTTTCTGGTTTTCAGTTTCAGATGCACATGGTCCTCACTGCCCTTCTCTCTCTCTGTATATGTTCTCTGTGAATTCTCTGTCTCATTAATTTGCTACCTCTGTACTGGTAATTCACAGATCTAACTCTTCCCCCAGTTAAGCGAAGAACACAGTCTTCAGCATCTGCCTGAGGGTATCTAGATACAGCTCAAGATGATTAAAGCACAGGTCTTGTGTTTCTTTTACATAACCTGGTTTCCTCACTTGCTGAGGATATTGTCACTATCTTGCCTATACACAGCTCTCATCTTCAACATTCCTGGATGTACGTCTCTGTATCCTTCTATATAACATTCCTTCCCATCCCTATCAGAACTCTGACATTTTGCATCTCAGCATCCTCTTTCCTAACCTTGGACCTGTGCATTTGTCATGCTTATGTCTATCCTGAATGCTGCTGGTAAGATCATGTGTCTAGACCACAGCTTTTTTATATTGCCTCTTTTTTTTGCTTCACATTCTTCCATTGTGAAGCCCTTTTCTGTCACATCAGACAAAAACTATATGCCTTCACTTCCAAAGCCTTTTGTGACCTGCCCCTTCCTACCTTATCAGGATCCATTTGTTGCTATGAGACTGATCCTGCCTCCGACAGGATCCTGCCTCAATGGCAGCCTTCACTCTCACTTCTTCTGTACTCCAGTGTGCACTTTGGTATTTCCTTCCAAGCTGCTTTCATGCTGAGAGGATCTTTCTGCAACACCTTCAAAGGAACCTCCTCATCATTCTTTTAAAAATCTCAAAAGCTTATTTTTGACCTGCAAATTTTTTTTGCCAATGGTTGAGCTCTCACATGCAGAGACTACTATCTACCTTTCTAACCAAGACTATTTTATTGCCTCCTTCCACTACCCCCTCTGTCTGCTACCTTCTTGTCTCTCACGCTTTGCCTGCAAACTCTCTAGAGCAGTTTTGTCATCTTTCAGCTCATCCTGGGTTTGTGCAGAACCTTGCATATGAAGTTCCTGCTCGACAGGAACTGCAGGTGTCCCTGCTGATGGCAGGGGGGTTGGAACTAGATGATCTTTAAGGTCCCTTCCAATCCAAACCATTCTATGATTCTATGACTACTAGAATCACTAGGGACTTTGAGAAATGATTTTGTTATTGTTACTACAATAATCACACGCGAGGTGGTTACAACACATTCTTTTTCCCTTACACAGTGCTAGGGATAACACCCATATTCCTGCCACTCCTACTCAAGCAGCAAGAGTTTGTGCAGCACAGTGGAGCAACTTTATCTTTGTTTAATAAAAGGTTGTGCCACTACTGTAAAGTAGTTGTACAAACAACACCATGTACTACATCATGCTGAAAATGCATGAGTAAAACACCACCTCCCTGGAGCAAAAGCTAACTCTGGTTTAAGCATAACCTGCTTCCGTGTACCCAACATGCTACTTCAACATGGGAGGCCCAAGCCATATGACGTACAACTATACAGTTCTAATTTGTCAGCACTGTAATTATTGCTACCGTTTCACTTTGTTACTATTATTAGTGAACATTCTTTTGTTATCACTATTATTGACACAGATTACTCACCATCAGGTTTAAACGGGATTTTATTTTTGTAAAAGCGGAGATTGCACAAGTCATTTTGGTATCGAAGATCTTTAAAGTTCTGCTGAAAGAAAGGAAATAGGACATTATCAGCCTACAAAAATCTATCAAGAATATCCAGAAAGTGATATTGTGCTCCTTGAATAATTTGAGGATGAAAAAATGTCAGTGTTTTAGGAAAACTGTAGATCACATACAATTACTTATACATTGAAAGATTCAGTTTAAGGATCTGCAAGTTCCTTCTGGCTGGTACTGTCTCCTACTGAGGCAGAGGTTAGAGCAGGAAACACAGCAGCACCTTGACTTTGGTCCCAGGGAACTTCCAAGACACAAATAATAGTAAGTCCAAACTCTATCATCTACCCTCTTCAATATTCAAGGCAGAAGGCTTTTTCTGGGCTCCTACTGCTGTTCCCAGGCTTACACATCTCATACATTTGCACATACACCTGGGACGAAAAGACACTGCACTAGTTTCACTGCTCTCCCACTGGCATACGTTGGGCCTCTGCATCAGCTTTTTGATCCTTCTCATTTCTCTTATTTATTAGGCACCATCAAGCTTTAGGAATGTTTGGGTTGTGTGCACTCTTCTACTAAAGAGACCCCTTTAAACCATAAAATATTCTTACTGGATACTGGTGTCGGTACTTGTATAAATCTCTTGCTGCGTAGAAGCTTCTCTTTGGCTTGGCTGTCAGCTCGCTTCCATCCCCACTCTGAAACAATTAGAAAGTAGAGAATAACCACACACAAACAGTAAATACTGAATCTGTGTAACATTAAAATAATTATTTTTCATGATGGATTTCAGCAATGTAAACAGACACAAGTGCGTGCGTTTGCCTACTGTTTGCTCAACCACCGAAAATCTCTCTACTGAATACTTATGCCACATATTTTAAACCTAAATTTAAAAATAAAATAAAATACAAAAGCAAGACTATGAAATGTCCTTCCAATGAGACTGAATTTGATCAACAGGTTGATTGTCATTTACAAATGCAAGACTTCGAAGTAAACTAGAATGCTAGCACAAGATGAAATAAGTAACTGAACATGAAAACGCAGAGACGCTACTCATTTCGAACAGGAAATCATATTGTTTGCAAAGACTATCTGTCATGTGTACGTTGACTTAATTGCTATCATTGCATCCTGTGGAAGAAAACGATTAGTCATGGCCAAGCCAAATTTCAGTTCTAACACTTTCTTGAACCATTTTATATTATGTGTATCTCAGAACTTAAGAACTATTAAATCCCAAAACAAAAACCTGCTTAGAGAAAACACACATGTACAAGAACCTGTACTGGTCCACAGCTGTTTGGAAGCTGTGACCTGAAACAACCAGAGCCCACCAAGGTCAATGGAAATAATCCCAATGACTTCAGAGAACACCTGAAAAAGCTGCGTGCGTTGAAGAAAAACAGAAAACGAAGCATTAGTGTACAGAGGCTTCAACTTGTCATCGACAACTTTATCTTCTTTGTAATTTCTTTGTAACTATACTGCAGCAAAAAGTTTTGTGTTCTTCAACCTCGTAAAATAAGTCTCTACACTAAAACCAAAGGCCAAAATTCATTCCACTCCTTGCAATACACATGCAATAGGTTAAAGTCAAGCCTAAAAAGGGAAGTGCCCTGTGACTGCACTGGACATTTGCCTTTATTATTGTCCATCCCGTTGCTTATCAATAGCAGGTTAACGACAAACAAGCATCTCTTTTCATCCCTCCTTTTGCAAGACCAGCTTTGGCCATACCTACGAGCAAAACAGGCTTCCGTGAAGGAGCAACACCCCTTGGCACTCGGTTATCAGGCGTGACCATCACCACGTCTCAAGCAGGAAAGGGAGAAATGCTGATGCTTATTTAATTGTGCACAGTTTCTGAACCAAATATTAACGTAATATATCTAACAGGCTAAAAAGAAAAATAAAATAAAAGACCCAGCTGGTCCACCCCGCATTCAGTTCTAACTCTAATGAAATCCCTGGCAGCGTAACCCTTTATTTATTTAGGGTCGGCATTTTTAAAGGTTTTCAGAGACAGAAACTGCCTCTGAAAATTCCTCCCCTCGGACCTACCGAGCAGCCACAAATCCGTTACCACGGATGGGTGTTTAACCCATTTAATTAAGAGGCCAAGTTCAAGACTACATTTAATTTAAAGCAGAACCTTCTCTGGAAACAGCAGCAGCGGGACTGACAACGACTCCAAGGCCTCAGTGTTCTCCCGTCAGGAGGTTACCGGCATGATGGGGGGCAGGAACCAGCCCGTTTCTGCTTCAGACGCAGAGCTGGTTTCTCTCAAGCCCCGGCCGCTCTTCATGCAACGGGAAGG